CACACACACTGTATATGTACATATTGTCTGCTATCCACTGTTAATGTTTTGTTTGTTTATTAATAAAAGTATTTTACGTTGAGACCTGTGTAACATTTGTTATTGTTATCATTGTTAATGGAGGAAGAAAAGTTAGTATCGGCTTCAAGAATCGGCCCAAAAATATCGGCTGCTCGTATCGGCGTATCGGTTAGACTGATTTTTAAAAAATCGGTATCGGTATCGGCCTTCAAAAACCTGTATCGGTCGATCTCTACCTGATACAGTCGGTCACTCCAGAGTACGTGTCTTCTGTGCTCGCTCGGTTCAGGGACTGCAGTCTGGTCTTTATTACTGAAATTCAGATTATAGAGGTTAGAATCTAAAATTAATACCACAATAGGTTATCGTGTTGTTAAAAACAAAAAACACTGCTCACCATCAACAGGGTTGACTGCGACAGCTGCTGTGCTCCCTGCAACGCAGCCTGAGACAAATGACACGTAGAACGGAGCCGGACCCTCCACATCTTTCTTCCCCAGGTTGTTCAGATTGGCAAAAAGTGGGAAATAGATGATGGAGAAAGGAACATCCCTGTGCAGACAGAAATAGGACAATCAAAATGAAATGTAAACACTAATTACAGTTTACTATTAGTGAAACCTTGGTTTTGAATCTGCTTTACCGGAGCAACGTGGCACCCAGGCCCTTATAAAGCCCAGCRATGCCCTTTTCCCTCAGTAATTGTCTGGTGAGCTGCATGGCCGTCGGGGACTTGGTCTCCACGGTGCCTGCTGCCACCGTCTCTGGCATGAGCTTCCTCTGAGCAGCTAAAAACAAACAGGAAGCACCATTATATGAAAAGTAGTTTGCAAACATTATCACTCAGTGCCTAGAAGTGGTTTGTGCATCTGTGCTATAAGGTGCATTCTCTGACATGACCACACGGGAGCACTCTTTCTCCAGAAATATCAACACTTCAGTTTGTCCAACAGCTGGGTTTAATTTCCTCTTACCAAGCCTTCCAGCATCCTGAAGCTGGATTTTCAGCATCTCCATGGGAGTTGTTACTATGACCTGCAACAGAAACAAAATAAAAAGCATCAAACACAGTGCCAGCTGACCTTTGGAAAGACCAAAAAAAACAAAAAAAGGGCTACAATTCGGTTAATTTTATAGATATTGTGCTAATAATCGGTGTGGTAATAGCTGAGAGTGAGTCACAATAGACACTCCAAGTGCTACTTTCTATGTTTAATATCTGTTGGAGTCAACCCTCTTTGTCTGTTAGCAAAAAATCTCATGGGCCACTGGAAAGATTTTAATGGAACTTTCAGAAAGCAATCGTATATAAAAAGTAAGGATATTTATGTTTGGTAGATTATTTCTATGTTGTAACAACGTTTCTTGGTGCTGATGCATCTCAGTAACCCAGGTAGAAAAAAAATCAAAAAGAAAAAAGAAGCAGGTCCTCTGGATGGGTTTTTCTTTAGTGAAACGTTTCGTCTCTCGTCCAAGAGACTTCTTCAGTCTGATGAGTTTCAGGTGAACTCAGCCTTATAAGCACTGCCTCCACATGGTGGACAAAGAGGTTAGTCACATGCAAAAGAAGGCCATCGCTTAACAATAGGCTTGATTTGTTCTATTGCTCATAGAGGGTCATGTGCCCCATCACCTGACTTACTGGTTTGGATGCTGTGGTTCTTAGGTGTCGTGTCATGTGTATGTAGTGAATGCAGGCGAGGTTCAAAGTCCTCTTGTTTTTGTCTTTTTTCCCTTTTTGTGTTGGTTATCACTGGGGCCCTGATTCACACCTTTTTACTCACAGGGGGCTGAGTCATACTTGCAATAACAGCGTTGTAGGAGG